GTCCACTGCTGTCCTTCTGGATACACTTGCAACATTGCCACCGGAACATGCAACCGAGGAGACCTCTTTATGCCGTTGGCAACAAAGAACGTTGCCCAGCCAGTTGAAGTAAGTGTAATGAGACCAAACCAAAACTGTGCTTGCAACCGAGTTTGGAAGTCGGGTCGTAGCTGTAATGAACACGACATGGTGGCCTGTCCCACGAATTAATGTGTCTGCATGAGGATTTATGACCAACACCCACACGTAAATGTTCGCCAACTTACATGTGCACGTATTAAAAACAAATAGCGTGAATTTCCTGTAAATTTGTCATTACCTGAAAAACCCAAAGATTTCTTGCATACATGATTACTTTGTCAAGTTTAGCAGTGATGAGCCTCAAGCAATGATAATTACAAATACGTAGGTAGTAAAATTGTTCATTTCTGATTTGTTTGGTGCAACTTAAGCCACCTTAGAAAAAGTGGGCCCACAATTTGTTGTCACAGACTTGCTTGACTTTAAGTGCTGTAACAATGGATATCTCTGTGTGCGCCCATGCATTTTATGAGATCCCATGCATTTTATGAGCTAAGCACAGCAACCGTGAAATATGCTAAAGCAAATTTTTGCGCTATGGTTAACAAAAAACTTACTGAATGGTAAGCAGCACTGGGAAATTGTTCTCTGTTGGAATTGACTTATTTCCCATTTGGGGGAGGGGTTAGTTACTGCCACCATAGTGTCACATTTTGATCAGTTTATCTGTGGTAATTTGTGTTGATCCTCTTATGTTGAATTAAATAACTATCCAGATGATCTCCTGTCACAGGCTGTAAACGTGGTGTGCCCTGGCGGTCGGTACGAATGCCGGTCAGGCGAGACTTGCTGCAAGCAAGGAGGTGGAAAATACGGCTGTTGCCCACTTCCCATGGTAAGTTCTGCTAAAGAAATTGGTATTGATCAACTGAATCACTTGAATTCCAAATTTCTTTAAAATCAGTGCATTGCTACACCACTCTGAGTGGCATGTGTGTTCTCCTGGTGGCGTTTGAGCGTACTTACTGAAGTTAACAGCATGAGTACGACCTATTGATCAATGAGAGGGCACTCTCGATCAGATCAGTAGAAGACTCAAGGTTATTTTAATACGGCAGAAAGGCGATGGTGGAGCGTTGGCATGGCACAATCTGAAAGTAAGGCACATGCCTAATTTTCCTGCCTTCAGCCTTTATTACCAGGGATAAGTGGGAATGAGATTTTTCACATCCTTTTAGTGTCGTCTCCATCTTGTAACTTGTGCTCAGTCCTAACAGGTCTTGGAACATGGAGATGTGCCTGTGTTTTTGCTTTAGCATTGAGGACAGAAGGCAGAGGGAAACAAGGACAGTTCATTGTCATCTGTGGTTAAGTGGGGGTTTCCATGATCACTGAAAACCCCTGGAAAAAAGTTGTCCCAGAAAGTCATGGAAAGTGGGGAAAAACATGATGCCATGGAATTGTTATGAAGGGAGAAAAGTCCTGGAAATCAAGATCGGGCAAGTTTATTTTTGATGGGCCAAGGTGTGTTGTGTTGTTTTGCTATAAAGGCTGTGTGCTGTAACGACAGTGTACACTGCTGTCCGAAAGGCTACAAATGCAACGTTGCACACGGAACCTGCACCAAAGGAGAGTTCAACCTACCGTGGTATGAGAAGAATGACGCCCAGGAGGTTGAGGTAAGAGGAACGCAACGATACGATGGATTGTTCTGCGAAAAATTTTCGGTGCAACTTAATCTCCTTCAGTGAAGGAAACTTACCCAATATCCTGTTAAAATTGTCTAAGCTTTACTGGGGGTGCTATTGCTGTTATTAGATGGAGGGAAGACACCATTCAGAGCTTGTTGGTTCATTGACACCAAAACCTGCCTAATGGATGGAGTGAACCAGCGTTGGTATCATTGATTGAGAACCAGATCCGTGTGGAACATACAGACCCTCAGTGTATATGCTTGTCTGGTAAAATTTTATACACAAAATTTGCTCAACGAAACATTTGACATGTTTGAGAGAAAAAGGGATATTCTCTGGCTTACTGCTGCACTCTTACACGACTTCAGATCACTTTAAAAGAACCGAAAATTTTAAAAGAATGGTCAAGTATCTAACATCCTAACAGTGTTTTCCCACAAATCAGTGTAGCATTGGGGTTTTCTACCAGATATGAGAGTGTAGTTTTGCTCATATATAACAATTTACATGCCATAAAAACCAAAAAGCACCCAACAAAAATTGTTATTCAAAAGTATAGCAACAATAAACCCAGTAAATTTGGACACAAAGGTCCATTTCAAGGGCTGTATCTGAAAAATTACATATCATAGATGCTTTAAATTCCGTTGTGCCTGGCTCTTCGTTGTCACTTCTTGTTCAACCTATCAAGACTAAATCTTGTAGTGCTGTCCTTCAGGTCACTGCGCGGGATGTCAGGATCAGTCCAAAACATTCACTTTGTTGATTTTTCTCAGTCTCTGTCGTTGGATGTCTGCCGTCTGCAAAGCGTAGTAGCATTATTAAAATGGATACACTGCACCAGTGTCATAGATCTGGAAATAGACCTTGTTTGAGTGAACACCGAGAGAGCACACAAGCTTTTGAACTGCTCATAGTCGACACTGTTTCAAGGGAATCTGTGTATCTCTGTCTTGGGTGGATTTTGGTCTCTCCTCCCGCTGTCTGCAGTGACAACATTGATTGTAACAGGCACTGCTAAATAATAATAATACAGAACACTTATAATGCGCCGTTATCTGCCCAAAACTGACTCTCATGGCACAGTACAAAGAACAAAATGATAATTCAGAAAAACAGTAATCAACAATATGCATACTGAAAGTAGTGGGTCTTGAGGAGCCGCTTTAAAATCGGTAACGGCTGAAAGGGCACGAATGTCAAGTGGGAGCTTATTCCAAAGTTGTGGACCTATGTGGGAGAAAGATCGCTCCCCCCAAGAATGATGTGTTTTCGGAACAACAAGCAGTGAAGAGTCAGAGGAGGGTTGGTAGGGAGACACCAAATCAATATTATACGCAGGGGCTGAACCATGAAAAAAAAAACGGTCTTGTCTGGTTTCCCCACAGTTGCAGAGTGTAGTGTGCCCTGGTGGTCAGTATCAGTGTCCGGACGGCAACACCTGCTGCAAACTGTCCTCTGGACAATGGGGCTGCTGCCCTCTTCCCAATGTAAGTCCTAGACAGTCACTCCTCTGAAAGGCCGGTGGCTTGAAGGAAAATTACTTGATGAGTTGTGGTTGAAGCATGTTTCTGTGAGGCTGTTTGTAAATTTTGACCTGATCCCACAAAAATTGGACAAAATGGGACCGAACAAAATGGTAAGGAATGAGATATTAACAGGTTGGGCAATTACAGGGTCTAAGGATGAATGACAAAAATTATAATATCAGAAAGCTAAATATAATACCAAACTCAAAAATATCCAAAGT